AACAAAATTAGTCTCTTTTTCCCTTAACCAAAACACATTCTTCTACTTTATAACTTCTTTTTTGAAACATGCCTTACTTCCCTTACATACAGAGTCATTTCCCTTATTAATTCTACTTTTAGTTCCTTTACATTAACTAAACTTCTATCTAACTATCTAATTTATATTAGAATTTTTAAATCCTAAGTGATCTTAATTTCTAGTAAAAATTAACAAGCATGTGAACTGTCTTATAATTAACATTCACCATTTCATAATTTCTAGAAACATGTTTCCTCAATTTTTCATGTTTATTAACAGACTCAAACATATTTATCTTCTCTATAGCATACAACACAAGATGTCGAAGCATATACACTCTAAACTTATGTTCAGCAATTAGTATTTCAGTATTTTAACTTAGAAATGACATTCTGTAAATATCTATTATTTACTTTAACATAAAATAACTTTAAGATTTCAAGTTACTGAAAAAGATTTTTAAAACTATAACAAGTTCACCTATAAATTTGTATCCCATTTTACATTTACCTAATTTACTTATTCTTACAATTATGCTTGAATGGCTCCCTAAACAAAACTAGCCAAGGAGTTCAGGAAACAATCCCATATTCACTGTTGATTAGTTGCATGCCTTGGTCACAGTTATTTAATCTTTTTATTTCACAGTGGAGAAAAGCAGATTTGGAGATGAATGCCTTCTTATTTTCTTCATAAGGTTATTGCAAGCACTAAACTAAATGAATTGAGGCCGGGCACAGTGGCTCATACCTGTAATCCTAGCCCTCTGGGAGGCCAGGTGGGATGATTGTTTGAGTTCAGGAATTTGAGACCAGCCTGAGCAAGAGCAAGACCCCGTCTCTACTAAAACAATAGAAAGAAATTAGCTGGACAACTAAAAAAAAAATATATATATATATATATATATTATGTAATTAGCCGAACATTGTGGCCATGCCTGTAGTCCCAGCTACTTGGGAGACTGAGGCAGGAGGATTGTTTGAGCCCAGGAGTTTGAGGTTGCTGTGAGCTAGGCTGATGCCATGGCACTAGCCCAGGCATCAGAGTGAGACTCTGTCTCAAAAAAAAAAATTAATTAAAATAAAATAAATGAATTGGGCACACAATAAACTCTTAGTATATTTGCCAATATCATCATCATCTAAATAAGCACTCAGTTTGTGCTTTTGACTGTTGTGATACAAAGAATGACATTTACCTAGAAGACAAAACCATTTCTGTCATTCTCTCTCTTATGGGGAAGGTTATAATTGGAGCCAATTGCACTAATATAAAGATAACCCCACCCTGATGAAGTGGAGAGAAGAGAATATGGGTATTGAGTCTGGTAGCCCTGGACAAGCTTGGAGGTTTCTCATTCTGTTTCCTCATTTGTAGAGTGGGGAAGTGACACTCACCTCAAATGTAGCAGTAGAGTGAGATGACATAGAACAGGCGTCCTCCAAACATACGGCCTCGGCCCACATCGGGTTTTTGTCCATTTGTTTTTTTTTTATTTCAAAATAAGATATGTGCAGTGTGCATAGGAATTTGTTCATAGTTTTTTTTAAAACTATAGTCCTGCCCTCCAACGGTCTGAGGGACAGTGAACTGGCCCCCTGTTTAAAAAGTTTGAGGATCCCTGGCATAGAGTGTGCTGAGGGCACTCACTGAGTGCCAGCTTCCTGTCCTCCCCTCTTGTCGTCCCTTCAAGAGTCTGCGTGCCCTAGCAGGCAGTGGGCACCAACTCTGGCCTGAAGGATGGTGGCCTACACTCTTGGAGAATAGAGGAGCAGTTGAAGCCTTGCAGTCCGTGGTCACCTTGCAGAGTGACCTTATGAGACCCCCCTGCCATTGATTATCCAAGGGCCATCACCATTGGAAGGCCACCAAGTTGCCTTATGTGTAACTGATTTGTGCTTCTTGAGGACAGCCACGCCTCTCCTGTGGGTTTCCCCAAGATAAGGGGACCAGGGCTCTAGATGCAGAACAGAAGGAGCCAAGCTTAGAGTGTACCAGATGGCCCTAAGAGTTGGCCTGTGCTTTCCACCCTCCCCTGGGCCGCCCTTGGGTGGGAGGCACAGAGAGGACCTAGGGCACTCTTGCCTGGGGTCCAGGGAGAAACCCTTACCTGGATAGCAGGCTGCCACTGGGGAGTGCTCTCTCCTGTGACCTTTCGTTCTTCATTCCTGCCTGCACAGGTGACTGGCTTTACCCTCACGCTCCATCTGGACCTGAGGAAAGACTGAGGCTGAGAGCAAAGAGAAAATGTTGTAGCACTGGAGTGGCAGAGAGACGGCCCCTGGCCTGGGTCGACTGTGTGACTCAGTGTACATTCACCGTGTACCCATTGTGTCCTGGATATGGGGGTGTAGGCAGTGAGGACGCAAAAGCAAAAAGACATTGGAGATGGACAGGCTTGACACTTGTGGTAGCAACACGAATGGGACCCTTAGCCTTGTGCTCGTGAGGCAGCTGTCCTGGGGGACTAGTGTGCAAATTGAACTGGACCTGCACATAGGAGCTTGTTGGGGGAAGGGTGGGCTGCAGAGGGGCCCTTTCTTATGGGGTGTGGCCTGGAGATGTGAGCGGGAGGCCTGTGCTTTCAGGGAGAAAGAGCAGGCTGGATGTCTGTGGACAGGGCAGATGAGGAATTGCCTTACTGGGGTAGGTTTTCTTCTAAAGGCAACGGGAGCCACTAAAGAATATTGAGTAGAGGGCAACACAGTCAGACCCGCAGATAGAAAAGATCATTTGGTGGCTGGAGAGCCAGCGAGGGGTGGAGCACAATAGAACCTCGATGGAGAGAAATGGCATGTTTATGTTTCTCTGAAGATAACCTGTCACAAGAACCTCTGCGATTGCTCACTGGAACCAGAGAGTAGGTTAGAGGTGAGGTGAGTAAGGAAGCCAGGGCAGGTGTCCGAGCCAGCTTAGGGCAGGGGTGAGGCGATGGGGCTGCGTGGGGGAAAGGACTTAGGAGGGAGAGTGGACAGGATGTGGAGACAGGTTGGAATGAGCAGATCCGCGTGGGCGGACTACCCTGCTCTGCCCCTCCCCAGGAGCTCGGACAGCAGGCAGGGGCAGGGTAGAGGCGGGGGAGGGACTGCGTTCTGAGCCTGGCACACCCGCCTTTGTGTACCCTGCTGTGCAGGTGAGATTTAAAGCCAAAGGGTACAAACTAGCTTGTAGATATTTGGACAAGCCTAAGCTGCCGCCCTTGTGTGCCAGGGGAGTCCAGCAAGCTCCCCAAAAGGTGTTTGGCAAGATGAGCGGTTGGGGAGGTTGGAGAATGGTGTGATGGGATGTGGCTCACCTGTCTGCTGAATATTTCTTAAAGTCCATCGCTGGCAATCACTTCCACTTCTTTCCCCTATACCCCACTCCCTCTCTCCCTCCCTCCTGCCAGGAGTCCAGAAGCTTCTATGCCAAGAGCGGAGAAAAGTGGGGGCGGGGGTATGGCTGCAGGTCACAGCCCCAGCCCCCCTCCCTTGTGCTAAGGAGGACCTGCCCAGTTGCTTTCCTTTGAGGGGTGGGTCAGGCTTTGTCAGACTCTTCCTGCATCTGTCTCTGGGAAGTGGGGGTCACACTCCTTCCCCGGGCACAGAATGTTCTGGGGAGCTCTGATGCCTTCTGAAATAGTGTTGTCTTTAGATATTATGAGGAATAGGTTCTAGGGTGAGATCAGAGGTCCTGGCAAAACACAGAGTCTGTTCATAATGGGTACTGGGTGAGCTGCCTGTGTAAATGCCACTTCCCGCCCCCAGGGCCCTGGGTGTGCTGGGCTTGTGGGAGGCAGGCAGCCTCCTCCTCTCATCTGCCCCAGGGAGGCTGGTGGCTCCACAGTGCCTTGAGAGCAGCCCCGACCCCTCCAAACAAACACGCACAGCCTGGCCCCTTCCTGCCTCCCATCTAGCTCGGCTCCCAAGTCTCTGCAGAACTCTCCAGTAGTGGGTCTCTGCCAGTTCTCTCCTCCTCGCCTTTGCTCACGCAGTTCTCTGCAGGACTGGCTGTCAAGGTTCAGCTGAATTTCCAGCTTTCCTGCAAAGCCCAGGCCTTGGTCTTCAGGTCCCAGCATCTCACCTGGGTCCAAACCTCTTTAGAGTTCTGTGCCACATAATTTGGCACCAGTCTTTGCCATCTCACGGTTTGTGTGGCCTCATGTGTGTTTATCTTGTCCACCGGCTGGAGCAGCCTCCATGTAGGGTGGAACTTGGTGGGTGCTCAAGGGGCACCTGGCATGGAGTCAGAGCTTGGGAGACCTGCCTGGTATACGAACTTGTCTTCTGTTTCCCAGTCCCGGGCTGCAGCCCAGAGAGATGTCATGGTTCGCTTTGCCAGGGTTTCAGCAGGGGGAGGCCTTGCAGCCTGGGGCCTGATGCAGGAGCAAGGTTAGTCTCCGAGACGCTGGCCTCAGGACTTCTTTCCTTGTGGTTCCTGGATTCCAGGTGCCCTCCCCACCTTCCTCTAGGATTCCTACCTCCATGTGTGGCTGGGGACCCGGTCCCCAACACCCTACGCCCCACTCAGCCAAGGTGGCCTGACTGCCAGCACCCATGGCCGCAGAAACCTTCACCGAGGGTCCACTGGGGAACTGCAGACCTGCTGAGGGATGCTCTCCATCCTTCTGGAATGGTCCAGAGAGCTGCAGGAGTAGAGAGAACACTAGGGCTTTCCCCAGGAAGGCCAGATCTGCTCACATTGCTCATCACCCCCTCTATTCCAGAGTAACGGGGGACAGAGACCCCATTATACTGGCAAGACAGAGTCACCTGTGCTATCCAACGGTGTCCTAAGCTCTGGCCCTCTTGTGAGGCTCTGGCTAAAGGGGGACTAAAAGGAACATCTCGGAGGGCTTTTCTGAGGAAGGTGTGACTGTTCTCATGAGAGCTTTGGGGTGGGGCGCCGTGAGGGTTGCTGCAGTTGGGGCATTGCGGAGGATACGCCGGCAGGGGGGTGCCAGCCCTTCCTGCTCACCCTGCGATGTTTTGTGCTTTCAGACTGGAGGCCGGCGCTGAACCTCGCTGCCCTGGACTGTGCCGACGAGAACAACAGCGCTGTCTGCAGAGACTTCAACATCCCCGGCTTCCCGACCGTGAGGGTGTGTGGCGAGGAGGGACGCGGTGGTCCGGGGCGGGTCTGGCCGAGCGTGTCCTCAGCTGCTCTGTGCTCCTCCGCCCCTCCAGGCCTGGTGTGTTTAAGTCACAGCCCCTGGAGCGCTGTCCCTCTGCTTGTGGGGACACCTGTGGCAGAGGCAGAGGCAGAGAGGAAAGAGGTTCATTTGGTTTGGAAAGGTCTGCCCGTTACGAGGGACAGGGGCTGCGTGTGGCTGCGTTGGGTTGGGCAGATTTTGGCTGCTCTGATTTGAGCTGAGAAGTGACCGTGACTTAGGCTGGCGAGAGTCCCCGGGGCCCTCTTCACCTCCTTTCCCTCCTGACCGCCAAGCCTTAGGGGTCTGATCTGACTCCATAAAACCAGGGTTTGGGCTCTGACCCATCCATGGGCAGGATCAGACTCCAGGAGCCTAACGGTCCCCAGAAAGGGACCCCAGAGACTCTGGCAGGCCTCATGCTCCTCAGGCCAGTGCCTTGAACCACAAGTAGCTCAGAGGTGACCTGTCAGGGTGGCCCCACCCCACTGCTGAATGCCGATGCCTCAGGCGGCTGGGATCCCAGGCATGGGACTCATCACCCCCAAGGCATGAGGGCTCTGTCACCCCAGCTCTGGCAGAAAGTGGCACGAATTCTCGGATGATGCCTGGCCTGCCAGCTTGTCCACCGCAGGGTGTCAGCATGATTAATGTCTGAACAACTTCCACGGCTCTCAGACGGGAGGCCCCGGACAGCCCAGGCAGCACGGCTGCTACAGGGACAATGAGGGCCTCCCCAGGGCTCAGGCCTGGCTCTCGTCCAGTTAGTTCTCTTCCAGATTAGAGAAGCCAAATTCAACCCTCTGCCTCTCTATCTCCAGCTATAAATAATACACCCCTCCTACCAAATGACATCTAGAAAAGCAGTTTCCTCTGTAGCCATTGAGCATAATCAGGAAATGCCTTTGAAAGCTGAAATGCCAAGCATTGTCCCTGGAACGAGATATCTCTGAGCTCAGGGGCCTCAAGTTCCCAGCAGAACCGTAAGCTAGAACTCAGCCTAATTGCCCCCGCGGCAGTTGTCCGGAAAGCAAGGCCCCAGACTCCTGGGAACGTCCGGCTCTACCTCCACGTGACCTCTCTGTTCCTAGAGCCCAGTGGAATCCTGCTGGATTCGAGAGTTCCACACCCAAGAGAAGTCCCTTCCTAAACTGTTATCAAGTCGGGTCACAGCCCAAGCCCCAAGTTTAGCCATGGCCAGGCAGTCTGGGGACAGTATAGCCAACAGCCATCGTCATGTCCTGTGGAGGTGGCAGCAGAGAGGCTGCTTACCAATCATTCCTTTAAAATAAAGACCAGGGACATTGCCCTCTCCTTGGCCCAGAGATAATAATTAGAAACATTCAGATGGGGTGCTGTGTTCCTTTTGCCGAGCCAGGGCGCACAGCCCTGAGCAGGGACCTGCAGGTGGAGCAGCGTGGTGGCAGGAGCCGTCATTCACACGCTGGTAGTTTTCTCCCAGGGAGAAAAGGACGGAGCACTGGGGTCCAGCCCCTGTCCTCCCCCAGGGAAGGGAGTGGCACTGGTACGGTACCAGGTCAGGGCATCCTGTTGGAGTCCCGTGGGGCCTGACACCTGGGGCTTTCTGTTTCTGCCTGGGAGAGGCAGGACCCAGTGGGCGTGGAGGAGGTGGCCCAGCAGCCGGAGGTCCAGGGCTCCTCGGCGCCTACCCAAGTCACGCAGCACACGCAGCCCGAATGCCTCAAGTGATTAATCATCTCTTTGACTGCCCAGCTGGCTGAGGGAGGGGCGCTGGGAGGGGCCTTCACTGGGCTTCTCCGCCTTCCCCTGCCGCCAGGCACGTGGCACCTGGCTGGGCCAGTCGGGTCATCGTCTGTCCATTTCTTAAGCTCTCCAAAGACCAATGCTGTGGCCTGCAAGGCCTCCTTGCCTCTCCGGAGCAAACTGCAGCTCAGTTTCCCCCAGGGAGAGGCACTCGGGCCCTGTCCTCAGGATTCCGGTCTCTGGGCGAGTGGTTCAAGCTGTTGGTGGTCTCTGCTCACAGGCCCTGTGCATGACTTTCCAAAATGTCTTTTACTGTGACCCTCTATAAGAAATGCACCTTTGGCATTGTGATCCCGAAGTTGGTGTGTCTCTATTATCACTAAAACAAAAGTCTCCTAAGACAACACCTATTCTTACCAAGTGCAATACACTCTGATATTTCCTGTTCTGTTCCATTTGTTTTTTTAAAATACTGTCTGCAATTCACTAAATTGTTTTAATGACTTACTAGTAGGTTGCTTCTAGTGTTTGGAAAACTTGGCTCAAAAAGATTCTAGATCTCCAGAGATTCTGGCCCATTAAGAGCCTGGTGTGCCGAGGCCATCATGGTGGGACTCCCTAGAAACGGAGTTGACCCTAGAGGTCTGCCCCATGGTCAGCAGGCCAGAGAGACCCTGCCTGCTGTCCCTTGGGGACCGGAGCCTGTCCTTTGGCTCTCTACCCATAAGGCTGTGAGGGCCCTATGGTGAGGACAGGGGAAGACAGAGTGGTTCTGGAATGAAGCACAGTGACAGGCCCACACAAGAGTCTGGCCTTCCCCAGTGATGTGTGTCACTGTCCTTTCCTCTGCCTCCTGCCCCTTGTCACCACAAGCAAACAGGGAGCTTCCACCAGCCCAGCCTGTTCAGCAGACACCTGACCCAGTGGGCAGACAGGCTAGGGCAGGTCCCCATCCGACAAAGGTGTGGGGCGGGAGGGGCTCCCTCGTGGCAGGTGCTGGCTGGAGCCTGGAGACCTAGAGGCTGGAACTTCTGGGGCAAAGGGCTTTTCCATGGGCCACAGGAGTGCCCGTCAGTGGGTAATGGAATGAGACCCTTTGTGGTCAAGGCCTGGCTGGAACGAGGAGGACACAGAGCAGCAGCATTGGGGTGGGAGAAGAGGACTCTTCCCTTTTCAAGGTCCTAAGGGGATGATCGAAGTGGGTTCGAATCCTGGCTCCATTGCTTACTGTATGTGGCGTGGGAAGTCACCTAACAATGCCCCAGCCATGGGACTAAGTTTTCTTATCTGTAAAAACGGGGTGATCACATCCACTTAAGAGGATTGTTGCCAAGTGTGAAATGAGGTCTTAGATGTGAAAGTGCCGAGAGGCTGGTGTCATTTGAGGTTCGGGAAGTATTAGCTGTCTTCATCCCGTTGCCCCATCTCCTTCCTGGGTTGCCCCACGTGACTGTTGTTAGCTCCTCTGCGGTCGCCCCGTGGGAGGCAGCCCATCCATCAGCAGTTTTGTTTTTTTTTCTTTTGAGACAAAGTCTCGCTCTGTTGCCCTGGCTAGAGTGCCGTGGCGTCAGCCTAGCTCACAGCAACCTCATACTCCTGGGCTCAAGTGATCCTCCTGCCTCAGCTTCCCAAGTAGCTGGGACTACAGGCACGCGCCACCATCCCCAGCTAATTTTTTTCTCTATATTTTTAATTGTCCAGCTAATTTCTATTTTTAGTAGAGATGGCATCTCACTCTTGCTCAGGCTGGTCTTGAACTCCTGACCTCGAGCGATCCTCCCGCCTCGGCCTCCCAGAGTGCTAGGATTACAGGCGTGAGCCACCGCGCCCGGCCATTGGCAGCTTTGAGTGAGTGTTTGCTGGTGCAGGGTGCTGTCCTTCCCCTCCTGGGAGAGGCCCGGAGCGTGAGACGTGGCTTCTGTCCAGAGGACGCAGAGCCGAGCAGCTTAGGGAGGCGCGAGTGATGGGTGTGCAGGAATGCTGCGGGAGTTTCCTGGGCTCCCTGAGCTCTTTCCCTCGCTAGTCGGAGAGGGCTGCACGTAGGAGGGGATTTCCACTTGGGGTGGAAGGACAGATGGGGTTTGGCTAGGAGAGAGGAGGAGCGTGGGTGGGCGTCGTAGGCAGGGGAGAAGGTGAGAGCCAGGCCCAGCGTGGGCAGGGCTGCTCCTCGTATCAGGGATGAGGCGGGATGGGCAGGAGGGAGCCCAGGGACGAATGACAGGTCCTTGAACGTGGGACTGGGCGCACAGATGCCCTGTGGGGGAACAGAGTCTCGCCTTTATCTTCTATGACTCTTGCTAGAGGGTGAGATGTCAGCGCGGAGGACAAGACTCAGAAGGACGTCTCCTGCCTCCCTCTGGAAGGAGGAGACGGGCCCTGCTCAGCAGCCAGCTGCCCTCTCCCCACGTCTCCGCAGCAAAGGAAGTGGGAAAGTTGTGGATCCTCATCATTTTCCTTAAACGTTGTTACAAAAGCTTGGCTTCAACACCATCAGTGGTCACCCCTGGAAAGGGTGCCTTCTGTCCAGCTCTCTTGGCCCCCAGGAAGGCAGGTGCTCCGTAGGTTTGCAAGACCAGCCTAGCGCCACGTGGTTTCACCCGCTGGGAGCTGCTGGAGGTCCCCTGGTGACAAAAGGGACGGGGAGTGACTGCTCCTGGAGAAAAGAAAGTCATTCCTGATGTCTTAATTGCCTGTTTCCAGGGAACCGTGGTGGTTTCCCATGGGAAGGGCACACGCCTCCAATGGCTGACTTAATAGGGTGCATTTTAATAAGAGGACAAAAATGTGCCCCGACTAGATGAGCTTCTAGGATGATCAAAGGGCAGAGGTGCTCTGTTCCACTGAACAGCTGTCGGTTGGGTACCTCCACGTGCCAGACACTGCCGGGCGGGCGCTGCGGAGCCTGCAGAGATGGATAACTATTGCCCTGCCCCCCGGCCAGGGAGGCGGCCGGGTGGGGGTGGGGAGTTGGGGTTGAAGCCCGCTGTAGCTGGAGTGTAGAAGACGGGGCGCCGTGAGGGTTAAATTTGGGTTTGGAGCCTGGAAGGCCCTGAGTACAGTGAGTTTGGACATTATTCATTGACTGTGGGAGTCGTGGAGGAGGTTTGAGGGGGAGCGACGTGATAAGGCCAGAATCGTACCTTAGAAACCTAAAAACTAGCCTTAGTGGCGGTGAGGAAGGTGCTGGAGAGTGGAAAGGGTAACAGTTCTGAGCGAACGATGGGTGAACGGGCGAGGACGAGCGCGGTAGCCCAGAAATCGTCAGCGCCTGTTGGCCTGGCCTAGACGACACAAGATTGTCGAAGGAGTGTCACAAGATTGTCGAAGGAGTGTCACAAAGGTCAAATCCACGGCACTTGTGGACTGGCTGGGGGATGGGAGTGTGGGGGAGGGGGACCAATCACGGGGTGAGATAAGAAACTCAGGTGGCCAAGCAGGTTGGGGGAGGGGTGACTCAGTCTTAGGGGCAGGGATGTGTGGGGGGGGGTAGGTCCTGACACCTGGGTGGGGGCCACCGGGAGGAACCAGCGGCCTAGGACAGGCGTGGAGCTGAGGCAGAGGGTTCAGACTGCAAATGGTTTGGGCCGAGGGGTTGGCTTTGGCAAGGGGGAAACGATAGGTTTGTTCGTTGATCCGTGTGTTCACTCATCCATTCAAAGCACCGATTGAGGGCCCTCTCTGAGATGGTGCCCTGGACAGAGGTGTCACCGTCTGCTGTGTGGCCGTGGGAGAGACGGGGGGCAGGAGATGGCGAGGACAGCGGGCACGGGAGAGGAGTCAGGGGAGGCTCGGACAAGGCTGAGGGTGGCCAGGAGGGCCTGGTCAGTGTCAGGCAAACCAGGGGAGGGTGGTGACAGAAGGGCAAGGAGAGTGCCCAGAAAACGTGGCACAACAAATGACAGACGCTGGCCATGGACGGGCAGAGTGGGCAGCGGTGACAGCCTATCAGAAGGGGTCTGGCGAAAGGTCGTTGGACTGGCTCAATAGAAACTCACCACTGAGCTTTCCTGGAACAGCACCAGCCGAGCGGTGGGGCCGGAGCCATGCCTGCATTCACGGCACGGAGCGAGAGCGGGCGCCTTGCTGAGAAACTTGGTGGCAGCGCAGGGACGCGGGGACTGCCACCACTGCAGGGGGACGGAGCACCTCTTGATTCCCGGGCCCCTTCCCTTGCTGTCCTTTCTTTTTTAAAACAGTTTAGGTTAGGAGGATGAGAATCTGTTTGCAGGCCCAGGGAAGGCGCCGGTGGAAAAGGGAATGGTGACAGAGATGGTAGGAAAGAGTCCCTGAGGAGCGTGAGGCGGAGGGGCCAGAGCCCAGGTGCTGGTGTTGTTCTGGAAGGTCAATGGAAAGCTTCGGAGGACAGAAAGGGAGGCCAGGACAGAAGGGAGGCCGAGGGGGGAGTAGGAGGCTGCACCTGGGGGCAGGGTCTCTCTGGCTCCCCGTCTGACTCCAAGCTGCCCTTGGCCGTGGCCTTGAGAGTCCAGAGAGTCTGCCCTTTGCTGGAGGTGATGGCAGCCCCTTGTGATACAGGCACCTGCCCAGATTTGGGTGACCTGAAGAGTGATGATGAAAAATGACCCCGTTGCTTTCAGAAGTGAAGATAGCAGCCGCAGCCGTGGGAAAGCCACGCCGCGGAAGGCTTCCCGACGTCAGTGTGTTCTTGCATCTACGGAAACCAGCCCAAGTCTGTCCTGTCTGCACATAAACCGGGGCGCTCTCGCTGTGCTTAGCTGCAGCTCTGAAATCACCCTCTGGTTTGTTATTTGTGAGCAGACAAAAACCCCAAACAGCTGCATTTTCAGTTTTGTTTCTGATGAAAAATGTCAGTCCATAAATGCCTTAACCTGCATTATCAACCTCATCTCATGCCATAATCCAGGAAATTTGTGATCATCTTTCTAAGTGTTAGGATAACATAATTTTATTAGGTCAATAAAATTCAGTATCTAAGCACTTCTAGTCTACCAAAAAGAAGAAAAAAAAAAAAAAAATTCAGTAACTGTAAAGAACATTATTATAAATATGCACAGCCTTAGTGGGTGGTTTTCATGGAGAATAAGTTTTTATGTTAATGTTTTAAAAGGAGAGAGAATGAAGCAGTGAGCAGGAGTAAGGGTCCCCATGAGGTCAGCGGGAGCTGAAGCTTGCAGCTGGGAACCGATGGTGGCGTCTCTACAGTCTTTGTCCCTCACGTGGGAGAGGGTAGCCGGTGGCCTCTAGAGTTTACTTTTCTGCCTACAAATGGCTGGAACAAACAAGTCCTAGCTGGTCAATGTTTGCTAGGTTTTAAAAGCAAGGAAAGCTGGAAGGGGATGTAACGACAATGCAGTTAATATTTATTGCTGTATGCACAAGGTACTGTGCCAAGCCATTTAGAGGTATTGTCATTGGATCTATTGTATCCTCACAGCATTTTTTTTTTCTTTGAGACAGGGTCTCACTTTGTTGCCCAGGCTAGAATGCAGTGGCGTCAGCCTAGCTCACAGCAACCTCAAACTCCTGGGTTTAAGCGCTCCTTCTGCCCCAGCCTTCCCAGTAGCTAGGACTACAGGTGTGTGCCACCACACTGGGCTAATTTTAAAATTTTTATTTATTTTTATTTTTTGTAGACATAGGGTCTTGCTGCGTTGCTCTGGCAGCTCACAATGATTCTTAAAGGTTGATGGTGTCATCCTCATTTTAAAGATGAGAACACTGAGGTTCAGCATGGTTGATCAAAGTCACACAGCAAGAGGGTAGCAGAGCCAGGCCTTGAACCCGGTGTGCCAAACCCCAGAGCCTGTACTCAGCCGGCAGCTTGGGATAAGGCCAAGTGGCCATGTCATTGGAGGCAGAGGCCCAGGAGAACGGAAAGTGGTCCGGAGAAGGGGCCTCTTCCTCGCCCGCAGGCTCTTCCTGGGGCAGTTAAATAGCTGTCTGTGAGGACAACTCACCTCTGTCCCTGCTGAGCCAGGAGAGCACAGGCAAGAGCGCTGGCAGGTATCTTGCCACTTAGACAGAAGCCCAGAGCGTAAGGTGTTGTCCTGGCTTCTCTCTGTCCTCTTGCCCCAAGGAAATGACAGACCTAGGTCTCAGGTGTCATGTACGTGGGAAAAGAGGGCAAGCGATGGGCTTAACTGGCCGGTCTGTCGCCAGGCTTGTTTCTCCAGGGGCTCAGGCCCTCTACGAGGACCTGGTCTGGACACCCCCCTTGCTGGAGTGTCTGCTGGGCAGGGCGGGGAGCGCTCAGTGGACGGAGACCGCAGCCTCTGTGCCCATTTTTCTAGGATAAGGAGCAAGGACAGAGTGGGGACGTAGAGGAAAGCTGACATTTTGCAAGGGATGTATAAAGTGACTTCCCTTTTATTTTTTTCAGATGGGTCTGCAAGGAAAAAGAGCCGTGGTACTTCATCACTATTCATACAATAAATGTTTTTCAATAATTACGTGCTAGGTACTGGTGATGGTCCGCCTAGGCTGGGTGCAGTGGCTCATGCCTGTAATCCCAGTGCTTTGGGAGGCTGAGATGGGAAAACACTTGAGGCCAGGAGTTAGAGACCAGCCTGGGCAACATGATGAGACCCACCTGCAAGTGCGAGGAGGTCCCCACGTGGAGCCTGACTTCTGTTTTCCTAAAAGCGACCTACAAAAAATAAAAACAAATTCTCCAGGTGTGGTGGTGCGTGCCTGTAGTCCCAGCTTCTCAGGAAGCTGAAGCAGGAGTATCGCTTGAGCCCGGAAGTTCGAGGCTGCAGTGAGCTATGATCCTGCCACAACATTCCAGCTTGGGCAGCACAGCAAGACCCTGTCTCGGAAGGAAGGAAGGGAGGGACAGAGGGAGAGTCCCCCACTACCTGTAGTGAGAAGGAAGGAGGGAGCAAGGGAGGGTCTCCCATTACCTATAGTAGGAAGGAAGGGAGGGAGTGAGGGAGGGTCCCCCACTCCCTGTAGTGAAGCGTGTGAGCTCCAGGGCTGTGGGGGCGGTTGGATGCAGGATAACACAGAAGGGAATCAGTGTCCAGCTCACAGAGCAAACCCCCGTGTTCTCTATTTTATAGGTGAAGAAACTGAGGCTCAAAAGAGTTTAGCAATTTGCCCCGTCGCCCCGTTGAACGAGCAGCCAGGTTTTAAACGCAGATCCCTCTGCCCCCTGCGCTGTGCTCTTCGCCACCACACGTCACTGACTCTTGCCTGTGTGTTTCCTTCCAGTTCTTTAAGGCCTTTTCTAAGAATGGCTCCGGAGCAACGTTGCCAGGTGGGTGTCTGACGGTCTGGGGGGCGCTGGCAGCGTCTGCCCCCGCTTGCCTCCTCCTTCCGGTCTCTACTGGGGCGAAGGGAGCCCTGGCAACCAGCGAGGTCTGCAAGCGCCAGGAGGTCCCCACGTGGCGCCTGACTTCTGTTTTCCTAAAAGCGTCCTCGCGGATGCCTTAGGGGAAGCTGGGCTGAAGACGCCCTTCAGGTTCGGCCCATCCAGGGTCCTGGGTGGGGGGCGGGGCGCCACGTTCCCAGAAGAGCCCTTGTGTGACAGTGGGGTCGGCGTCCAGAGCGCAGACCAGATGGCCCTCATGGGGAAGCCCTCGTGGGCCCCAGTGCTGAGGGCCTCTGTCCCGTTCGCTGAGGGGTGGGTCTCCCCGCATTGCTCAGGGCCACGGGAGGAGCCCCAGCCCCTCCGCCCTAACCCAGAGAAGGACTGACACACCGTCTGCCTCTCTCAGAACTGGCTTGTGCCCTGGGCCCTTTGCTTCAGTGTAGAAGCTGTCAGGGGTGCCGGAAGCAGCTCTGGCGCCTTCCTCACACCCCTTTCCATTTGCAGTGGCACGGGCGGATGTGCAGACCCTGCGCGAGAGGCTCGTTGACGCCCTGGAGACCCATCGTGACATGTGGCCCCCAGCCTGTCCCCCACTGGAGCCTGCCAAGTATTTGGGGCCGGGGCAGGCTTAGTGCATTGTGGGCCGGGGTGAGAGGGTGGCCGGAGCAGTGGGGGGCAGGGGACCCAGCTTGGTTCTTCCTGCTGCCTTTGCCTGTGGGCAGGCGCCCCCGTCTGCCAGAGCCACTCGGGAGTGGCTGGTGGCGGGCTTCCTATTGCTGCGGTCCTAACTGAGCAGCCCTGTCTTCCTGGGGCTGACTGCTGGGTACAAGGGTCATCCCACTGGGGGGAAGGGGGCTGGGGCCTCTCCTGGCCATACTGCTGCTGCTTCTCACCACCTGTCCTCGGAACGTTGGGGGAATGCAAAGGATTTCACACGCTTTATCCCAGGGATGGCCGCTGAGAGTCCGCATGGGCCTGGGCAGGCAAAGGGAGGGGTTGGGGGTCAGAAGAGGAGAGTTCTGTCTCCGTAAACTGAAGATGGCTGTTTGTCTGAGCCGTGGCCACACCTGGGGGTAGGTGGCCTCTGGCTCCCTGAGCTGCAGAACGTCAGGGGCAGTGGAAGGTGCCAGGCAAACTTCCTGGGCGGCACCTTTTCTAGGAAAATGAGGACAGTGAGGTACATGGTGTCTTGCCAAACCCTCCCAAAGGAGGAGGCAGGTAGATTAAAAACACTAGGACCCGCACTTCTGGATGAGAACTCAAGGTAGGGTAATGCCCACCTCGGGGGACGCTTGCCAAGAAGGAACAAATCCCTGTCCTGCAGGGACCGCTGGAGCAAACCCAGCCTTGAACACAGTGGAGGCCCCAGGTGCTAAGAAGGCCTTTTAAGGCCGCTGTTGGTGCTCGAAGGCTAAGTTTGTGTAGTAGTATCTTCAAGCCATAGCCATGATAAGAGGGTATTTCCAGTGTCACTTGGGTCACAGAGACTCCTTTGTCATCCTTCCTAATTCTCCCCACTCCAAGAGGGCCTCCGGGAGAACCTGGGCCCAGCATATGGTCTTGATGTGGTTTGGGGTTCCACAACTAGACCCCATCTCTCCAGGAAACGCCCATGCCAACCCGGACCCCAGTCCTTGCTGCCTCTGTTGCTCCGTGGCTGTCTCTGTCACCTCTCACGGCACATTTTCGGCCTTGGGGTATCTCAACAGCAACAAATCAGGCAACCCTGCCAATCTCACTTGAAGTGATCCTTTTAAAGAACTTTAGGAAGGAGGCAGAGATGTGTGGTGACAAGCGAGCTGCCTCTTCCAGAAGTCTGCGGGCGGGCATGGGGCAGAGGGGTGCTGGCCCCCATGTAGGAGGTGCTCTTCCGCCAGCCTAGGGAGAGTCTGGGGAAGGGGTCTGAGCAGCCGGCCACCCGGCGCCACCCCAGAGACTGTCAGTGTCCACAGCCCAGCGGGGTGCACGCGGGCCCCCCTCTCCAGCGTGTGCACGTGGGTCGCTGCTGGGCTGGCTGCCGCATCGGCCCCTTGCTACAGTCTGGAGGTGGTCACGGCCACGTCAGCGGATCCAGCGGAGAGAAATAGGTCGCGAGGTTGAGGGTAAAAAGAAGATGCAGACTCCTTTTCCCCTACGCCTTCTCACCTGCTGGCCTCTTAAGCGTGTCTGAGCATGTTCTGCTTGTAATTGGAATAAGACACAAATCATTTTTCTATTTTCTGTTGAAACTTTTAGTTTTAAAAACAATTTGTAAGGCCAGGCGCAGTGGCTCACGCCTGTAATCCTCGCACTCTGGGAGGCCGAGGTAGGCGGATTGCTCAAGGTCAGGAGTTCGAAACCAGCCTGAGCAAGAGCGAGACCCCGTCTCTACTATAAATAGAAAGAAATTAATTGCCAACTAATATATATAGAAAAAATTAGCCGGGCATGGTGGTGCATGCCTGTAGTCTCAGCTACTCGGGAGGCTGAGGCAGCAGGATTGCTTGAGCCCAGGAATTTGAGGTTGCTGTGAGCTAGGCTGACGCCATGACACTCACTCTAACCTGGGCAACAAAGTGAGACTCTGTCTCAAAACAAAACAAAGCAAAAAATAAATAAATAAAATTTGCTTTCTTATTCATTTCCACCTTTATTTTAAACTGAAGAAACTTGGCCTCAGTTTCCCCATCTTAAAATAAGGAAATTGGATTAGGTATATAGATAGGTAGCTTCTAAGGTCTTCTGCACCCGGGACTTTCTGGTTCCTTAGTTCCTTTTTTTTATACCTACTCCAGGGAGGAAAAAGCAGATCTCCCAGCTGACAGTGACTGGCCACAAATCAAGGCTTGTAGCTGATGATTCTAATCACCAGTCTTTTAGGGGACCAATAAAAACCATGTCCAGTAAGCCTGGGCCTATCCCAGAGCATGAGACAATTGGTCTCAAAGCATCCAGGCTTCCTCCCCAGACAGCCTCCAGCTCATTCCTGACTCTTAAAAGAGACAGGAGGAAAGAACAAAACGAAACAATCCAAGGTGGGTCCAGTGAAGATCCAGGTTAGGTGACAGGGGCCACATCCCCTGAGACTGAGGGTTTGGTTTCCCACACTGAGAGACATTGCGCCAGGCCTTGTGTGGAAGTGGAGGAGGGCCGCGTGGCCGTGTCATCAGCCACGTCATTGGTGTCTGGCGTCCCCAGCGGTGTTATCTTATTCGTCCTGGCTGTGGAGAATGACTGCCAGAGTTGTCTTTTGCAGGCTGGCGGACATTGATGGATTCTTTGCAAGAAACACCGAAGATTACCTGGCCCTGATCTTTGAGAAGGAAGGCTCCTACCTGGGTAGAGAGGTGAGCTGCCCTCCAGTTTCCTGCAAACCCTGGAGAGCCACTGAGAGAGAGCCCCAGAGGAGGAGCAGGGCTTTTCCTGCCAATTAATTCTAGGTTCTTGGCCATGAGCATCTCTTAGTCTGGCACAGGCCTGACCCCTGCTGGGAGAAACAGGAAGTGCAGGAGGTGGACCTTAACATTTTTAAAAATCTTTTGTCTATTCTTACCTGTCTTACTGAAACCACATATAACACCTGCTGTTTATTGTGCGCTGGACTAGAATACTGACAGACATAGTTGCTAATCCCCGCAATTAACTAAGATGGTAAGATTAATATGTCCAAGATCACACAGCTAGTAAATTGGCAGAGCAGGGCTTTGAACCAGGTCTGTGTGGCTATAGAGCCCATGTTGTTTCTACACTGCTCCACCCCCTTGAAGTTAAAAATGTGGGAGGGGGGGAACATTAGAGATGATCCAGGTCCTCATAAGGAAATAGGGGTCCCTTTTCCCAGGTGAAGTGGATTAGAATTTCCACTCCATCTCTTGCACATATCTCCATGGTCAAGTTGTTCAACTTTTTTGTTTGTTTGTTTTGAGATAGGGTCTTGCTCTGTCACCTGGGCTAGTGTGTCGTGTGCAGTGGTGTCATCATAGCTCACTGTAACCTCAAACTGCCGGGCTCAAGCAGTCCTCTTATCTCAGCCTCTTGAGTAGCTGGGACTGCAGGTGTGCACCACAGCACCTAGATAATTTTTCTATTTTTTGTAGAGATGGGGTCTCCCCCTTGATCAGGCTGGTTGTGAACTCCTGGCCTCAAGCAACCCTCCCTGCCTCAGCTTCCCAAAGTGCTAGGATCGCAGGCATGAGCCACAGCACCCGTCCAAGTTGTTCAACTTTTTGAGCCTCAATTCTTGTCTGTAGAGTAGTGATAATAACATTTCTTCACAATATTGTTGGAAAAGTCAAATGAGGCGATGTAGGTAAAGGGCCGGATTCATAGCCGGGGCATGGCAGGTGCTTTGTACCCATCCCCTTTGCCTCACGCAGAGAGCGCTCCATCTGCTGCACAGGCCACTGTGAGCATCTCCCAGCTGCACAGGGTGGGACGCGCCCGTGCACGGGAGATGTTCCCAGGCAGTCCCGGGAGCTAGCTGAGACATGAGAGTGGGTGAGGTTAAATACCGCTGTTGGCTCTGAGTGATTTTCCCACTGAAACTTGTCAAGCACAGTTGAGAGTCTGAGCTGAACCCAGAGCTGTGTCTAGGCCTCTGGTCCCTGAGAGGGAGGCGCAGAGGGGGCTGAAGAGCCGCTGACCCCCTGGGGTTCCAGTCCTTGCCCTGGGCATATTTGTCAGTAGAAGTGATTGATAGATGTTGAATGAATGAGCTCTTCTCCCTCTCCTCCCCCCACAGTGGCTGAGCAACCAGGGGCAGGGGCCCCAGGGGGCTGAGCCAAGCGCCCATGTCCCCGGGGAGGTGCTCAGGGTGTCTAGGGAGTCGGGAGGACCTGGGGCTGAGCTGGGACCTATAGCCCAGTTGCCACACGTGCTGGCCATGTGACCTGGAGACATGCTTGCACTTCTACGATTTAGTTTCTTCAGCTACAAAATAGTTTTATTTTTAAATAAATACTTATATACTTACTATGTCATCGCTAGTCATCGTTACGCACATTTTTATAAAAATCAACCCATTCAGTTCTCATAACAGCCCCCTGAGGTTGGTGGGAGTATTATTCATATTTTGCAAACAAGGCGATCGGGACAGGGACAGCTGTAGCCTGGCGGAGGCAGATTCGCGTGCAGGCAGTGGGGGTGACCGTGAGAGAGCTCTCCCGAGTCAGCGTCGCTCTGAAGGCTGAACGCGGCGATGCGCACACAGCACGTCGCGCAGACTCGCTCAGCGTCAGCCGCTGCGCGCCCTTTCTTCTCTCTACAAATAAAACCGGCGTGGCTGAGAAGTGTGTCTTGCTGGTTTGGAGTACAGATAGGAAGCTTCATAAGAATGAAAATGAGGCGGCCTCACAGCTCCGTGGTGAGGAGGATGCAGACGTCAGTAACAGCAGCCTGCCACCTGCCACCTGCCACCTGCCACTCGTGGTCGTCACGTTCAGTCACGCTGAGGACTTCTCTCTCCTGATGTGGGGGTGTTGTCATTCTCAACAAACCCTCCTGTTGCCTTCAGAAAGCCCCAAGCTTAAAAACCTTTTCAGGCCTTATAATAAATATGCATATGGCCCCAAAGGGCCCCTGCGACTATCACAGACATCTAGGCTAAATATTCAGAAGTTCACACAAATTCCAGAGGTTTATTTTGTTCCTGTCTTGCCCGTGAATTTATTACCATACATATTTTAACACAAGAAAAATTATAGTTCTTTAAAAGTCTCCTGTGGTTCAAGTTTCTGTAAGAAAGGCCGCTCTTGCCTCCGGCAATTGAGGTTTCAGACAAACAGTAATAGAGAAGGCTCTGGGGAATCCTGGGACCTCAGGGAGCAGTCAGATATTGGGGTGGGACAGGCTTAAGGACTAGAAAGTGCTTGCTCAGGACAACAAAACAAACAAACAAAAAATAAAAATGAAACCACATTTTATTATGCCTTTTACAGATTGCTTTCACTGGAAAGAAAATTATATTCAGTTGGGACTCTCCTAGGGCATTTCAAGATGGGTGCTCTGCACGGTTCCAAGGTCCCTCCTCGAGGGCAGCGTTTGACACTTGCTGCTGTGGGTTAGGCATGGTTGGTGGCACGAGTGGCTCTCATGCATCACGGTGGTCTCCTCTGTGAAAGGTTTAGAGTCTGCAAGGAGCACAGCTGCCACCCAGGTGCCTGCCCAGGGCACTGAGCTGGGACTCAGCCCGATACCTCTCTGTCCAATGGCTTGGCCCCCTAGGTGTCCTCCTGTCTCTGCAGGTGACTCTGGACCTGTCCCAGCACCGAGGCATAGCGGTGCGCAGGGTCCTGAACACGGAGGACAGCGTGGTGAGGAAGTTTGGTGTCACCGACTTCCCGTCTTGTTACCTGCTGTTTCGGAACGGCTCTGTCTCCCGAGTGTCCGTGTGAGTGTGGTGGCTCCCCGCCTTCTCTCTGCTCCCTGCCTGCACCCGCCCTTTCTGCCCACCCAGAGCCGGGGGCAGGAAAAGGAGATGCCTGCCTGTCTCGCAGGGCCGGTGCCTCCTCCGCCAGGGGACTGGGCCCAGCATGCTGCCCCAGCACCAGGCCCAGGGTCCTGCTCAGCCCCCACTGCCGTGTGCGGTCCCCGCCGCAGCCCTGGCCGGTTCCCCATCTTCTCCTGCTCTCAGACAGACTCCCTGGCAGGCTGCAGGCCTGGCCAGGACTCAAATATGCCTGACCCTCCCTCCCTTTGGTTTTCTAATTGCAGAAAAGTTCATTAGGAGCCAGACAATAGCCAGCTCCAAAATGCCTAGAGAAAACAATCAGGCCAGCCTCAGCCCCTCTGTCAGGCTCCCGCTGCTGAATGGCCCGTTAAATGGCACCAGATGGTGCCTCGGTGCCCTTCCTGGGCGGATGATTGATGTCGGCCTGGCCCTGCAGGCGGGAGCCGGGGCCAAGGAGCTGAAGGCTCCGCAGTGGCTCCCAGCACAGGCTCCTCGGGGCTTCTCGCACCGAGCTGGCACTGGCGGGGGAGCCACCCGCCCTCGGCCGCCAGGCCACCAGGCGGCACTGGGGCAGGCCGGGCAGACAGTCTGGAGGGCCTGGTGGCCACAGGGCGGGGCCGGCTTTCTGGGCAGGACCAGAAAGTGCCAGGCCTGGCGGGGGGAGAAGGCGGCGCTTCCTCACTTGGAGTTGGCGGAGGGGAAAATTGTTTGTGGCGCTGCTGCTCTCGAGCCATCTGCTCAGCCACCAGCCGCCTGGCCTGTGGCCTGCCGCCAGCTCCCCTGGGCACCCGCCGCTGCGTTTCGCATTTCTCCCTCTGGGTGGCCCTGCCCCTGGTGGGCGAGAGGGAATCTGTGCTCAGGGTGTTTCTTGCCCTTGAGGACTCCTCTCTACTGGAAGAAAGACATCCGAAGGATTAGAAAGGGATTTAGAGAATTCTGGTGGCGCTCTATGGTTGATGCTGTCTTTTTTTAAGTCACATATCAAACCCCCTTGGCTTCCTCGGGGAGTAATGTTCCCTCACGGTGTCTCGAGCAAGCTTGTGAGCGGGCAGCTTTCTCGAGGTCAGCTGCCGTTTCAGGCCGTGGTCTGTGAGGATGGTCGGTTGCCACAGGCAGCCGTCCCTGTCCCTGGGCGCCACCCCCGCCTCTGCGACCTTGGCCCTGCCCGGGCCAGAGCGCAGGTGGGGGACTCTCGGGCCCTGCTGCTGTTCCGGATGGGGGCTCAACAACAGGCTGGGGTCAGAGAGGCCTTCCTAACCCACATGCGCAGCGATTAGAAAGGTGAAGTGGGTCCCGGTGCCCTGTTTTGGCCTCACTGAGGACAAGATGGAACCATGTTCAGATATTTCCTAATAAACGTCTCTGGGCCGAACCACTCCGCTCCCTCTTCTTGTTTTTTTTTTTCTTTCTTTTTTTTTTTTTTTTTTTTGAGACAGAGTCTCTCTCTCTTGCCCGGGCTAGAGTTGAGTGCCGTGGCGTCAGCCTAGCTCACAGCAACCTCCAACTCCTGGGCTCAAGCGATCCTGCTGCCTCGGTCTCCTGAGTAGCTGGGACTACAGGCACGCGCCACCATGCCCGGCTAATTTTTTCTGTATATTTTTAGCTGTCCAATTAACTTCTTTCTATTTTTGGTAGAGACAGGGTCTTGCTCTTGCTCAGGCTGGTCTCGAACTCCTGGGCTGAAACGATCCTCCCACCTTGCCCTCCCAGAGTGCTAGGATTACAGGCGTGAGCCACCGCACCCGGCCCCTCTTCTGACAGTGTTTAACTCTGGGGTTTTGTTCTTCCAGACTCACTGCCTCTCCTCTGTGGTTCTCTGCCCTCTCAGGATGGTGGAATCCAGGTCCTTCTACACTGATTACCTGAAGAGACTGTCTGGGCTCACCAGGGAGGCTGCGAGGACCGCCGTCACGCCCACCACTGCTCGCACGGTGGCTCCCACCGTCTGGAAATTTGCAGATCGGTAAGGCTGTGCCTGCTGCTCCCGTGCTTCCCCTCCCAGCCTCTCCTCTGACCACAGACCCCCGTTTACAGTCACATTCCCGTGTGCATTCCTGTGCCTTGTGGTAGGTTTAGCACGTGCCCCTCTGAGCCTAGCCCCCCAACCCTCCCTGCACCCCAGGCACGCACAGGGGCCTTAAAGGGGCAGGGGCGGCAGCAGTGAGCTGGCTCCAGGCCCACTGCTGGCTGCGGGGGGGGGGGGGGGGACGAACAGCATTCCTGGTTACCCTTCGTGAAGGATGACTGTTTCCATGCCTGCTGTCACCAAGCTTATCTCTACTCGAGAACAAGTAGACCAGCTTGGACGGAGACTCTGAGGCCTCCAAACCAGTTTCCCATCCAAGCAGTCATTTCTTCAGCAGATATTTTTGGGTACTCGGTATGTGCTAGGCACGGTAAACACAGAGGACATAGATAGGCTCTGCTCACACAGACCTTACAGTCCCGCCACAGCATCTCTTCTGGGAAGGCAGCTATAACCTCACTTGAATGCTTCCAGTGTCAGGGAGCTCACTACTTCTTCAGGTAGCCTGTATCCTTGTGCATAATTAGAAGCATAAGAAAGCTGCTCTTCTCTCTGAGGCTCCTTGGTTTTCTCGTGATAGACGTCCTGCTGGTGGGGCAGGGAGACAGAGCCATAGACCTCTTGCTTTGGCACCAGCTGCATACCAAATGGAACTGTGTGACCAGGGAGCTCAGAGCTCAGGTCAGGATGGTGGCCTTCGTGAGGGGCTGCATGAGAGAATTGGAGAGGTAAACTGAGGCCCGAGGACACCAAGTAGAGCACAGAGAGGGGATGTGGCCCTGAGGGGGAAGCATAGGCGGTCCCATTGCTCACCCCGTCACGACTGTAGTGGTGTCTACGGCCCTGGGAGGCAGGCGGGGCAAGGGAAGACTCATTTACTATACAGGTCAGGTAAATGGGGCCCGGGGAGGTCGCTGACCTGCCCACACTTGCAGAACTATCTCACTATCGAACTGAGTCTAGAACCCAGGTCACGGTGGGCAGGGGTGGAGAGGCAGCCGGCACTCAAGGCTCATGCCATCAGAGCCCTGAGCCTGGACCCCAAGTGGCCTGATGGGCGCGCAGCAGCCAGCCTGGAGACCATAGCCCTTCCCCAGGCCTGCGGGGAGGTGTTGCGTGGGGCCTGGCAGCTGTGAGCACGTCAGCACTGAAAGACATGCAAGCCCTACTTCCCTGCCAGCCCCCGCCCCCTGGTCCCCAGCCTTGGTCTTTCAAGAGGGCCCAGCTTTTCCAGAGCCATGTTGTGTGTGTGTACCGCTGATCTGTTTGTCCCTAGAGTGTCTTGCTCAGAAGTGGCCTGATCAGTGAGCCACGGGCTGGCCCTGGGCCTGGGGAGGGGAAACCCCTCTTTTATGCCAGGAGCTGCTGAGAGTTTTACCTTTGTGCTTTATTAATATTTAATTCCCTTAACAACCTTCTTGTGAACAATGTATTAATATTATAATTCCTGTCTTACAAATGAGGACTTGAGGCTCAGAGAAGTTAAGCAATTTACCCAAAGTCACACAGCCAATTTTTGGCAGAGGCAAGTGCCAACTTCCAGGACCCTGTGACCATCAGCGGTGCCCCTCCTCTTGCCTCCCTTTGGCCCTGGGTGCTCCTCCCCACCCAGCACCCGCCCCACGGTTAATGCCCCTTTGTCTCTCTGCCTCCCTCTGGCTCCTCAGCTCCAAGATCTACATGGCTGACCTGGAATCTGCGCTGCACTACATCCTGCGGGTGGAAGTGGGCAAGTTCTCGGTCCTGGAGGGGCAGCGCCTGGTGAACCTGAGAAAGTTTGTGGCGGTGCTGGCCAAGGTAGGCAGGACGTAGCCTCTGTCGTCTAGGTGATTCCACTATGATTGGCGTGCGATCCTGCAAGCCGGGCCCACGCCAGCTCCTCCGGGAGCCTGTGGCCTGGCTGGACCCCTGGACCCACGGCTCGCCCAGGCCACATGGGCTGCCCCTGTCCAGCCTCAGGAGTACCCCACGCCAGCCCTGCGTGGCCAGGGACGACCCCGCCTGCCCCACGCAGGGGGGACCCAGGCCAGGGGCTGTGACACCTGGGGATACTCCGAGCTGGTTCAGAGACTGGCTCCTCCCCTCCCGCGTGCCCGAGTCCTCCCCTCAGTCTGAGCCCCAGAACGTGGCTTCTCTCTCCCTGCCGTGGTCCTGGGGAGGCAGGAGCCCTGGGTCGCCTCGGTGAAGCAGACAACACGTCCCGAAACTCCTTTCTCCCCAACCCGGTCTGACCCAGACCCCGGGCCCCAGCCGTGTCCTCCTTCCTTTGCAGTCTCCTGGGAAGGTGGCCACTCGTGAAGGGCAGCCCCTTCCTGCCCAATGTCTGTCACACATTTAATTCTCCTAACTGCTCCACAAGGTGACAGATACCACCCGATTTTAGAATCTTGGGGAGCTCAAGAGACTTGCCCTGGGTGTCCCAGCCGGGAGATGTTCTGGTCGGGCCGGGCCTGAGCGCCCGGGCCGCTGTGCCCGCTCCTGCCTCTCGGAAGGTGACGGGGTGGCCTGCCTCCCGCTTGTGCCGTCCTCTCTGCTTCAGATCCCCCGCCAGTGTGGCCCTGCGGGACGGCTGCCGGGCCCTGCTGAGTCAGACGCGGCTCTGGGCCCTGCAGGGCCGGCTGCTGGCCTGGCCTCCCTCGGCCCTTCTCGGCGCAGGTCGTCTAGTCCTGGCCACTTGGTCACATGCGTGCGTGATGACACTGAGAGGGCCCCAGGAGGGACGTTATGGTCTCAGGCAAGACAGCCTTTGGCCCGTCACAGGATGAGCCCGTCCTTCGGCCATTGCCACAGTAGAGACCCTTCCTCAGAGAGCACCGGGTCCCCACGGTGCAGTGGCCTTGCGCTGGCAGCCTGGAGACCCAGAGGGAAGAGTCTAGAATGGCCGGTCAGTCCCCTGTGCGGTCCGGCTCCTGAGGCGGGCCCCCAGCGTGCTTTCCGCCTTCCTCAGACAGCCACCCCGTCCCCGTCCCTCGAAGGCATCACCCCGGGAGCTTGTTTCTCATGTGCGCTCGAATCTCAGCCGTGCTCCACGCCGGGTTTTGCGTGGCCCTATGGGGCTGTTTGCAGCCATACGAGGGGAAAGAATGAGAGCCAGGAAGTCCGTGAGCTGGGCAGGGACGGACGTAAGCAGCCCCTCTCGGTGGCACCTGCTGAGCTGCCACCTCCAGCAAGGCCTGGCAATGATTTGGGGGTGCAGGAGCCCTCCTGCCAAGCCAGGGCCGAGGGGAGGACAGGGCTGGCGTGGGGACGGGCGGGAGGAAGCTGGGGAAGCCCAAGCGCAGGAGCAGAGGGACCTGGGGGCAGGGCTCAGGGATCTGGGGGCAGGGCTCGGAGACCCTGCTGGAGCTCTGCCCACTCCTCCCGAGGCTGCAGTCTTCTGCCCTCCCCTTGCCTGGGTCGCTTCTTCCCGAGCGGTGATGACAGCAGCAGCTGCCATTTCCGGACAAGCTCTGCACAGTGCTCTTTGTGTATTGGCTTACTTTTATTTCTCATAACAAACTCCAGAGGATGTGTTCTAGAATTATCTCCATTTCATAGATGGGGAAACAGAGGCCCCGAGGTGAAGCACCTTGCCCAGGCTCCCCCAGCCGGTGAGCGGAGCTGGGATTTGCACCCGCACCTCATCCCCCCGCCTGTGCTCTTCAGCACCACGTGCAGGGCGCTCCAGAGGCACCGAAGGCCTGAGGGTGACAGTGCTCACCTGCCCCCCAGCCTTGGAGAACTGCCAGCTCGGGGGGGTCCCCAGGAGGAGGGGGAGGCTCTGCAAGTCCTGCCGCTGCCCTCCTGCCCCCTCTCTGCTGCTCCTGCTGTGAGCGGCTGGCAGGACTGGCCACTGGGTGGCGTGTGGTCACCAGGCTGTCCTTGCTCCCTGCAGTCAGAGCCCTCGATCCATCTTCCCGCTGCTGCAGAGCCTCGGAGGCTCGAGTCAAGGTGCCGCAAAGGTCACTGAGAAGCGCTGACTTCCAGCTGTAAATTGTGGGCTGCCCGGCAGGGAGCGTGGCAGCGAGACAGGGCTCTTTCCGGCCACATCTCACTCTGGGGGAAGGTGGCCAGCCCCTGAGGTTTGATAAGAACATGGCCTGGCTCCCTCAGAGGCCTGGATTTAGCAGGTTTTTCTGTTTAGTTAACATTCCCATCTCCAGTATCCTTTTCACCAATGTTTTTCTTTGCTCTTTTTTCACTATTAGTTTCTCAGGGTCATTGTCCTGTCGACCTGCCTCTTGGTGGCTTTATGTGACCTGCTCTGCTGCTGCAGCCCTTTCCCCTGCCCCCACCCCGTGTGTGGAGCACACGCACACACACGTGCACACGCACACACGTCCTCCTCCCTGGAGTCCTCGTGGTTTTAAAGTGCTGATACTAATCAGATTTGAGTTGACTTATTGTCAAAGTGGCTTTTCCTGCTCTTCAGAGACTACTGGGAGTTACCATCAAGGTCTGGCTCTTGGCTAGAAGCCCCTGGCCTGCCTGGTCCCACTGGCAGCCCATGGAATACAAATGAAAGGTTCTTGCTGGCCCAGCCCGGCTGGCCTGTCAGTTGACAAGTCAGCTGCTTTGTCAGAAGATCCCCTTCAGAGAGAACCGTGTGGCCCAGGGTCCCAGCACCGTCCCCCGAGGGTGGCACGTGGTCAGTGGGCTGCACGGGAGCCTGGAGACGGGGAGACCGTTAGGGCCCAGCCCCCGTTAGGACCCCCACACACCCCTCTCCTCTGGCCTTACCAGGTGCCCAGAGCAAAGGTAGGCAGGAATCCACATTCGCGTCCTAGGCAGGATAGACATCCTGGTGGTTTTGGAACTTTCCAGAAAACTGCCTTAGCCTACTTCTGTGTAGCCCCTCCCCCCCACAGGGCTGTGGGACGCTGGGGGAGTTGTCTTTCGCTCTCCAACTGCCACCTGCTCCTCCCCACAGCACTTCCCTGGCTCGCCCTTAGTCCAGAACTTCCTGTACTCCGTGAACGACTGGCTCAAGAGGCAGCAGAGAAAGAAAATTCCCTACGGTCTCTTTAAAACTGCTCTGGACAACAGGAAGGAGGTGAGTCTAGGAAGCAAAGGATCTCCTCCCCATCCCTGACATTTACCGGAGCGGGAGGGGTTCACAGTGTGATCTCTGACCTGCACCGATGGGCATTCAGGAAGGAACCAGTGATCTTAGATCGTTCCATTAGTAATTAATAAACTATTCATTGAGCTCACTTTGTGCATGTCTCACTCAATCCTCATAACATTAGTAGAAGATAGATGTTATCCCCATTCAGCAGATGAAGAAACTGAGGTTAGGAGAGGTTAAACAACTCATCTGAGATGATGCAACTAGTAAGTGGTTGGGCTGGGATTAAAAACCGGTGAGACACCAGAGTTTGGGTTTTTTTTGTGTGTGTTTTTTTTTTTGAGACAAAGTCTTGCTCTGTCACCCAGGCTAGAGTGCCGTGGCATCAGCCTAGCTCACAGCAACCTCAAACTCCTGGGCTCAAGCGATCCTTCTGCCTCAGCCTCCCAAGTAGCTGGGACTACAGGCATGCACCACCATGCCCGGCTAATTCTTCTATTTTTAGTAGAGACATGGGTCTCTTCTTGTCCAGGCTGGTCTTGAATGCCTGACATCAAGTGATCCTCCTGCCTTGGCCTCCCAGAGTGCTAGGATTACAAGTGTGAGCCACCGACACCAGAGTTTTTAATTACTGCTCTCTGCTGGCTCAGGCCTGTGGCGACCCTCAGCGTGGCCACTCTGGCCCTCCCCAGGGCACCTTCTGGGCTCTTGCTGCTGTCGCAGAGGTGGCCACTGCAGCCAGCGGGGCTGCAGAACCTTGTAGACTTGTAGAATTTCAAAGCTTGGAAGGATCTCAGAGATCAACCCTCTTGTCTTACAGATGGGGAAGTTGAGGCTAGAACAGGATGCAACTTGACCTGTGTCACAGGTTTTCAGATCTGCTGCTCCTTCGAAGGGTGGAGCCGGTGGCAGGGAAATGCCACCTTCGAGGTGATAGACTGAGCAAGGGACCTCCTCCCTCTGAGGGCTGTGTGCTGACCTTCAAGTGTCCTGGAAGTGTCTCTCCTCCCTCTCGTCCCATCCTTGTCCCTCTCCGTATCTGCGCTCACGTTCCTGTGTGTTTTTAGGGTGCTGTTCTTGCCGAGCGGGTGAACTGGGTCGGCTGCCAGGGGAGTGAGCCGCATTTCCGTGGCTTTCCCTGCTCCCTGTGGCTCCTCTTCCACGTCCTGACCGTGCAGGCAGCTCGGCACAAGGCGGACCCTCCGCAGGAGGCAGGTGAGTCTCGGCCACACACGCCACGCCTCAGACCCTGCCCTGTTCTGCCCTCCACAGGACAAGGGAACAGGGCAACTCCCCGGGACGGACCCTGGCTCCCTGCTGCTGGTCACAGGGTGGAGACAGGCTCGGGCTCCCTCCTGCGGATGTCTGCATGGGCAGCTGGCCACACGCGGCAGCAAGGGACCAATCCAGCAAGGGGAGGACTCGGAGAATGCACTGGATCCCATCCTCTGCCTCTGGGCTGGCGCCCCTCACACTCTGGGCATGAGCCTCTCCCGGCTTCCTCAGCATTGCAGCTTGCTTTGTTTTCAGTCTTTGTGAAAAATTCGTGATTCATTTTTATATTCTTATAAAGAAAACAAAACTGACATAGATGAGACCATGCACTTTGAATAATTGTATTGCATTTCCGATCAGAGAATAATTTTCTAGGAGAAGTTGGGGAAACATTTTCCCTGCTACCCAGTTCCCTCCCCAAACTGCGCAGCTGTGCTCTGCCACCCCACGCTGTCCACGCCTGCTCTTAGCCACTGAAGGCACGGGCGTCCATCAGTCCCTGTGCCGAGGAGCCAGGCTCATGCCAGGCCCTGGCTCAGCTTGGAGGGTAGATACAAGGTGCAGAAGGGGCAGTGTGCACTTTCAGTGGCCGTCCACGTGAGCAGGGTGGGCAGAGAGCTCCTGCAGCGCCCAGGTCTGAGGCCACTTGGAAAAGACGTTCCCGCAATAGAGGGCGTGCTCTGTGCTATTGGAAGGGCACGGGGCTTCCAGGGGCTGGCTGAGAGGTGCTGGGAACTGGGATTCAGAGAGGAAGAGGAGTGTCCCGCCAGGGGGAGCAGCCTGCACGAAGGCAGAGTGAGTCAGAGCAGCTGCCAGCTGTCGGGGAAGCTCCAGTCGCTGGTGTGACCAGGCGACCCTAAGGTGCCCGGATGCAGCAGTGCCTGAGACACAAGGTCCTGCCTCCAGGGCCCTTGCTCCAGGGGCAGGAGACAGACAGCAAACACACGGATCGCTCCAGGCACAGAGGATGAGTGCCGTAGGGGACTGTCTAGAGCGGTGGGAAGGCTTCTCTGAGACCTCGCAGGGAGAAAAGGCAGCCTGGGACACCCGGACAGAGAACCTTCCAGGCTCCATCAGTGTGCTGCAGCTGCCGTGATGCAGACACAGGCTGGGGACTCAGCACCAGACAGTCACCACCTCTCAGCTCTGGAGCCCAAAGTGCAAGGTCTAGGTGTCAGCAGGGCTGGTTTCCTCCGAGTCTCTCTCCTGGCTGTAGATGCCACCTTTCCCTCTGTGTCTTCCTGTGGGCGTCCTCTCCCCGTCTGTGTCCAAAGTTCCTTTCTTGCAAGGACACCAGACATATTGGATTAGGGCCCACCCTGATGACCTCATTTTCCTTCATAACTCTGTAAGACCTGCTCCAAACACAGCCCATTACAAGGTACTAGGGCTTAGGACTTCAACATGCCAATTTTGGAGGACACGATTCGGCCCGTAACACAGGCAGGGACCAGCGGTGCCCATGGCAAGTCCAGGGAAGGCTGGTGTGCCGAGCCTGGGAGGGAGGGAAGAGCCTAGGGGCGGGTTGTGTGAGAGAAACCACTGGGAGTTTACGGGGTGATGCAGACAACCAGCACTTTACAACAGTTGCTGGCTCAGGTGACAGTGGCTGGCAGGACAGGGACAGGTGGCCAGTTAGGAAGTTGTGCAAATGGCCTGGAGTGATGGCGACTAGAGTTTTGGGGGGCCCGTGGAGGAAGTGGTCAGGTTTGGGGTATTTGGAAAGCAGAGCTGGTGGGACTCCATGGCGGACTTGGAGGAAGAGTGTGTGGGAGCCAGGGCGCGGCAGGCTCCAGGTCTCGGGCTGTGGTCTGGGCATGTGGTCTGCGAGCTGAGCAGTGGGAAGGCTCGAGTGAGGGGGGTCAGTGTGTTTCGTGCCTCCTGGACACGCAGATGAGATGTGCACATTCGGTCTGGCTTCTGGGAGAGGCGTAGGATAATGAGGTCAACTTTGAGGTCACGTGGCATGTAGATTACAGTTCAAGCCACGGATGGTTGAGCTCCTAGTGGGGAGGTAGAAAAAGCACTGAGGACTGAATCTAGGCGCCGCAGCATCCAGACCACTGCAAGGAGACAGAAGGCAGCAGCCACTGTGGTTTCACGGGGCCCAAAGTAGAGTCGCAGCGGGTGTGGTGCTGGAGGTGGCAAGACGGAGACGCCTCCGAGAGAGCCGTTTCAGCGGGCGATGGGGCCACGGCGGCTGGATTTGGGCCGAGGAGAGAGGAGGAGGCAAGATGGTGGAGACAGTGGGCAGACGGGTGTAACTGGTCAGAGAGGGTATTTCTTTATCTAACTGAATAATCTGCTATCTAAGGAAACACTGATGGTGCAGTAAAGAAAGAAAGCATCCGCAGGAGTACGTTCCGGGGAGGCGAGAAGGGGTGAGCCCGCCACGCAGGTGCAGGTGCGGCCTCATGGTGGGGAGGGTGGCCACCCGGGCCGGGGGCAGGTGTGGGAACATAACCTCGCCAGGAGCGACATCGACGAGGTGCTGAGGTCCCTGCCAGATGGCGGGGCGAGAGCAGGAGATCTGACCGCTAATAGGGGCTTTTGCAGCGGGGAGGGAGAGAGTTTGGAAGCCCCGGCAGCAGCCCTGGAGGCCACCCGAGCAGGGCGGAAGAGGAGGGTTCAAGGAGGGGTTGTGTTGGGAGGGTAGTGTCTCAGGCGGCAGGTAAAGGGCTTGGCTGGCTGCCGAGGGGAGACGGAGAGATCGGGCACGCGGCAGATTAGCAATGACTCAGAAGCCGAGGTCACTGGTCGCAAGGGAAGCCTGAAGCAGGCGGGCGGAGGAGTGGCGGGCTGGGCCGGTGTCTCCCGTGCCCATGTCGCGAAGGCAGGCCGAGCGTCTTGCTGAAGAGTGTGACTTTCTTGTCCTGGGTGTGTGTAAAGCACGGAGATAGGTGGAGAGAAGGAGAACTGGGTTTAGGAGTTGGGGGGAGAGATGGGGCACCTCAAAGCAACCCGACAGCAGAGAAGCAGGCAAGTGGGACGCTGGACCTTCGTGCATGGCTGGGGGTGGTGGGGCACCCGTAGGGGTGCTGCGGTGGGCTGGGGAGACCAGGTGGGCCTGTGGAGGGAACGGAGGGGGCGGCAGGGGCAGGTGGCCTGAAGGTGCGTGGGCATCTCCTCTCCCCTGCAGCCAGGCCCAGGAGGTCCTCCAGGCCACATCCGGGGCTACGGTCGCGCTCTTCCTTCTTGCTGCGGACTTGCGCTGACCGACTTCGAGCAGATGGCTGCTGCCTCGCATGCACCGGTGGGGAGTCTGGATGCGCCGTCCTCCTGGTTCTTGGTCTTCACAACAAGGCCAATGCTCGCCTTAGCAGGTAAGGAATGGCCACGCTCCACGGCTAGTCACCCTACAGGGCACGGGGCAGTGAGGGAACTTTCGGGGTCTGGGCCAGAGGTGAGGAAGGGGCACTCAATGTCTCTTAGTAATAATCCCAGCCGCTGTTAAACAACAGAATGCATTAGACCCTTTTCTAGATGAAGGGAACTGAGGCTTGATACGTGAAGTCCTGGTGTCCAATGCCATTGCTTCACTCTCTTGCCTGCACCAGGCCTCCCCGGCTCCACCCTGCTTGGCTTGTTGGGGTGCCCTGCCCTGCTCTGCTGCTTGGCTGTTTGGCCGCCTTACTCAAACCACAGGGAGAGAGAGCTGGGATCGCCCGCCCCCCAGCCCCTGGAAGGGTCTAATGACCAGAACACACTGGAGAGAGAGGACGCAGTCTCCTGGAAATATCCAGGGACTATGATCCAAGCTGGGTGGGGGGCAGGCCTGTCTTCTGCCCACCCTCGCCTGACGAGTGTGCTCTTCCACTAGGCAGTGAGTTCATGGGCCCAGACAGGCAAAAGCATGCAACTCAGGGACAGGGGGTGGAAGGAGCCATCTGTGGACCAGGAGGAGGCTGTCTGAGGGGAGGGGCGCGCACGAGGCCCCAGGGGTGGGGCTTGGCGGGGCGCGGTTGAAAGGAGCTAAACGGAGGCAGGTGGCGGTTCAGCGCCCCGCACTTGGTCCTGGTCGTCCTGGGACGCTCCTTGTGGACTTTGAAAGAAGACAGTGCCTGTCTTTTCCTCCTGCCCTCCCCCATGCCCCCGCCCCTGCCCTGCCACATGCCCATGTGACCGTCGAGCCTATGACCGGGCAGGCCCCAGCTGCGCTGGAGGACCAGGAGAGAGCCCTCACCAGGGCCATAGCAACAACAAGCCAGCCTTCTCTCCTGGTGGGGGGCCTTTTAGAGCAAACCAATAGTAGCAGGTAGCTAATAGTGGCTCACTTTGTGAGCCTGGCTCTTGGAATCTACTTGTTGTCCATCCCAATTAACCATTCTGACTTCTGTGTCACTCCGCTCTGCTGCTGCTGCTGCCTGCTCTGGTCAACATCTTCTTTCCCTATAAACCTTTAGAAGGGGCGCTTCTACCAGAGGTGATGGTGGCTGGCTTTGTCCTGGCTGGCCGGGGCTCGGCCTAGAGCTGGCCCAGCCACTTTAGGACCCCAGAGGTCCAGGCCTCACCCACTCTGGGCACCCTACCGTCGTCCGCCTTACCCAGAGAGCTGGCAGTTGGCTTGAGGAGGATACCTGTGAATTAAGCGTAGCCTAGTGCTTGTTTTAAAAACTCATTTTCCTATATCTTGTAACCCTAGCACTCTGGTAGGCCCAAGGGTGGGAGACATTTGAGCTCAGGAGTTCAAGACCAGCTCTAATCAAGAGCAAATCCCATCGTCGGACTAAATTAGAAAGAATTAACACAACTAAATATATAGAAAAAATAGGCCGGCAGTGCGCATGCCGTATCCCAGCTGCACCATGGGACGGCGAGGCAGGAGAATGCTGGAGCCCAGGAGTTGGAGGTGCTGTGAGCTAGGCTGGAACGCACGCACCTCTACCAGGTAACAAGTAGACTCGGTCTCAATAAAAACAACCATTCCTTTGCTCAACAAA